AAAAGGGACTTGAGAGCTGTTTAAAAGGCCCTGATAATTATAATAGCCAAGTTCTAATAGAAGCTACGGTTATAGCACTCACCAAGCTGCAGCCTCTTCTTAATAAGGTAAACAACTGGCTTTTTAGAGTAAACAGAGAACATGTTTTATAAATGAAAATTATAGTTATGGGTATCATCTCAAAAATATAACCAAGCGTTGTGGTATCTGAAGTTCACACTTCACTGCTATGACTCATGCTCGAAAGTGCTACATATGGGAACTGTCACAGATGTTTGTCTGTGGGACCTGTGCAAAGGCTTCAGAAACGCGTTAGAACGTACTGTTCTGCTTCATCAAACTGGGCCATAGCGGTACAGGCATAGACCGTGCTGCCGGCTGTCTTCAGTTCTTCCCAAAAGCCTTTCAGTCTCAGCTTTCAAGTGTTTGATTGCTGATAGATCGTGGCTTGTTGGTCGTACCTGATTCGGTATTAAGGTAGCCCTCCGTGTGTTACTTTCATGTTCGTTATGTGATCAGCTTACCAATGGGTGTGCTGTTAATGAAGAGCCTCATGTATTTACTGTTAGTAAATAAAACTTGTTCCTAGAAAAATCTGCTGCTTAAGAGACACGGCATCTGTTGAATGCCAATTCTTCCCGCATGCTTTTTTGATTTGGAGAAGAAATTGCCTGGCCAGTTCTATGTACAGAATTGCACTCCATCTTCCGCGTGTGCTCTCAAATTAAGAATGAAAGACCCATTTCTGTCCAGTCTGGTGTAAGGCAATGTGCGTCAGACATTTTTGGGAGCAAGGGAAGGAATATAAGAGAGAAGGAATGGCTTTGGGGGAGGGGAAAGGCTTGAAATTCATTTGCTTTCTACTCTTCACCTGTTAAGTGCATGAAGAGGGCAGGTTCCTGTGTACGGCTGTACTGATGGAATGGATGTGGTTGCGGACAGAACCTGCTGCAGGGAGGATAGCAACGCGTAGAAAAACCACTTGTCGGTCTTATTTGCCTTTGACGTACAGGACCTGACTTGAAAGTGAAATCGTGGGGGTTTCTCTTTCGTTCCAGGACTCCCCTATGCACAAGGCCCTCTTTTGGGTAGCGATGGCGGTACTGCAGCTGGATGAGGTAAACTTGTACTCAGCAGGTACAGCACTACTGGAACAGAATCTGCACACCCTGGACAGCCTTCGAGTCTTCAATGATAAGGTAAGCTGCGGGCAGTCAGCCGTGACTAACCCTTCGTCTGCGTAAGCTGTTAGAGCTGTTCAAAAAGAAAATATTCCGTGTCCTCATGGGCCGTAGTTAAGCAACTAAAACTGAAATTTGTGTTAGGAATTGTTTCACTGCCAACAGTAAAACTCAGGCGTCGAGATGAAGCTGCTCTTCTGTTCTAAAGTGGAACAGAAATGTAGGGATGTGTTCTGACCAAGGGTGTGTTTGCTGTTGTCACGTGAACGCTTACCATTACTGTTCTGTCACTTTAAAAAACCCAAACCAAAACAACAACCTGAGATATGATGAGCAACTTTTGATGATGTATTCCTGTATTTCATTTTTTCTGGGTCAGAGCCCAGAAGAGGTGTTTATGGAGATCAGGAGGCCGCTCGAATGGCACTGCAAGCAGATGGATCATTTTGTTGGGCTGAATTTCAACTCCAACTTCAACTTCGCACTAGTGGGCCACCTCCTGAAAGGTAAGCATACATAATGCTGCTCATTTTAGATGAGCACTCTTAATTCAGAGATAAAAACAAGTCCAAAGATGAAGGGGAAAAAACATGGGTGATGGATTTTGAGTAACTCGGATCGCAGAACAGATTCAGAAATAAATGTGGTTTGACTAAAGGACTTAGCCCCCACGGGCACGTTCTTTCCTACTTCTTCCCAGAATGCTGACTTTGTGTGTTTGCCCGTTTTCAGGCTCACTGTCTCTTTTAGAAGATTGATTTGTGAGATAATAGATACGATATATGTGCAGACATTTGAAATTACGTGATTTGGGGGGGAGGGACAGAAAAAATTCGTCTTGATGGTCCATTTTCTGTTAGCATTGTGCTTCCTTACCCTTTACGTGACGTTTCCTGAGAACATGCTTAAAAATATTCATAAATATTTTCAATATATTAATGCTTCATAAATATGCATTAAAATTAAGTACACTATTTGATTTCTTAACCTCATTTCTTAGGGTACAGGCATCCTTCTCCTACCACGGTAGCAAGAACAGTAAGGATTTTACACACACTACTAGCTCTGGTTAACAAGCATAGGAACTGTGACAAGTTTGAGGTGAACACCCAGAGCGTGGCTTACCTAGCAGGTAAAACTAAACGTACAAACATTCCTTTAAACTTGTGCTAACTGAAAAGGAGTGGACCATTGTGGGAATTGTTATGGGTTTAGGTTGATAAAATTGTACCAGCGTGAAGGGAGCTGTAACTGGAGATGGACAAGAGGCTGGGCTGGGCTGGGGTACGTGAGTTAAAGCTTTTGTGGACGGAAAGCTTGCCAGCGTAGGACCTACTGAGCAACCTGGAAAATATTTCAGGGAGGCTGAAGGTTTCTTGGTTTAAGTGTGTTCCTTAGAACTTTCAAATTTCTAGTGGTCTGGAAGTAGAAATTTTAACCATGTGAGGGCAAATGTTTAAATCATGTCACTGTAACTGGATGGGGAACATAACTCTTTTTAAACGAGCTACTTTTAATCTGTACATTTCAGTAAGGTGTAATTACATCTCAGTGGTGGTCTTTATACTGAGTAAAACAAATAAATTGATGGAATATTGCTTACATTCTTCAATGTGTTCCTGCTGTGGAAAACTCACGTTAGCTTTCTTTGAATTTTTAGCTTTGCTGACAGTATCTGAGGAAGTTCGAAGTCGCTGCAGCCTAAAACATAGGAAGTCTCTCTTGTTGACAGACGTTTCAATGGAAAATGTTCCCATGGATACATATCCCATACATCACAGTGACACTAGCTATAGGTTGGTTGTCTAACTTTTAGATAAGTTATCCAAATTTCAATGTCTGTTTACTTCGGTGTAAGTTATCTAGAGGTAACCTGTGGTATATTGAAAACCGAAACCCATGTTCCTAAAGCCGGTTAAGGTTCTCTTACTGGTTCCAGACCACTATGCTATTGTGATACTGTGATCAAGACTGACAGAGAAATTGGGTATCGGCTTCCTGTAGATTTAATTTTGAGATCTGTAAAGCTATTTCAGAGCTTACCTGCTTTGGAGGTCCTTAAACTCTTTGCTGACCTCTTTCTACAAGACCTAATTTCACCTAATTTTTCATTTATATTGGGGAAGAAAGTTCAGTTCGTCCTTTCAAGAGCTTCAGGGCATGTACTAAGTAATCGCTTGGTCCGTGTCGTTGAAAAATCTTGACACCTTACAGCCTGTCTATAAGCAGCCACAGAGATAAGCACAGAAATCAACCTAGAAGTGACGTGGAAAGCCAGGTTCTCCACAGGGAGCACTTTACTCAGTATCCCTCTTTTTAGCATCCAGTATGGAGTAGCTGATTATTAAATATTTTTCATCTTGCCTCATAGGCTGATTTGCCTGTCGTCTTTTCATTGCTTTATTTTTTCTCTCTTGATCATTATGTTCATATCAGATTGTTAGTTATCACTAGCTCAGACATTTTTGCAAGCAAAGTAATTACTGTTTCTTAATGTGTATTTTGGGGAGATTAACCTGTTAGGAAAGATGGGTTTAATAAAGGATAGTTTGGCTAGTTGAAAAAAAATTATGCCTCTATGTGCACAGTTTAAAAGATTTTCTTAATTTAATTTCTCTGCACTTTCAGGACACTAAAGGAAAATCAACCATGGTCATCACCAAAGGGGTCAGACAGACACCTGGCTGCCAGTTACCCGACAGTGGGACAGATAAGCCCTCGAACACGAAAATCCATGAGTTTGGATATGGGGCAGCCTTCACAAGCGAACACTAAAAAGCTTCTAGGTTATTAAGATAACTAATTTACTAATTTGTCTACAGAATACCTCAGGAAGTGTTACTGGAGAAATATTATACTTGTATTTAAGCTGACTTTAAATGCTTATTCCCGATTCAGAGGAATATGTGCGGTTCCTGCAAAATACAAATTAGGGAACACTGTACGGTTAACGAGGACTAACTCAGTTCTGTTGATCACGGAGGGGGGGGTGCAAGAGTGACACTCAAAATGTGCATGTGGAAGGGGAGAAAAAAGGCAAAATAAGGGGAGGGGGAGAAAAAAAGGTCTTGCAGATACTAAAGAGCCACAGTGTGAATTTTCTGCCACCAGCCCTCTTTCAACAAAACCAAGGAGCTGAGGACCTTAGCTTAGCTGCTATATTGAGTACTCTACCTTATGCTAGAAGAGATGATCCCAAAACATTTTAGATGTTTTGGAAGCAATCTGATTTTTATTCATGGCTTCTCAGTGCATCATGTTTATAAGCCAAGTCTTAATATCAGAGAAACGAGATGAGTTGCTTTGCATAACGTGTGGTTACCCTTTTACGTTACACGGTGTATATGGAAGGAGAGGGACATCTCTTTCATTACAATCCCTTTACTGCTTCCTTTTCAGTAATCACATTTTGGCATGTTTATTTGATGTGATGTGTTGACCAGGAAACCATAGCATGCCCACAGCTTACATATTTGAATATGAATTGCATGATTTTCTCATATGTATCGTGAAGCATTTTGGAAACTGTGATGGAGAGCGGCATGGTGTGATCGTATTTTCTCTGCCATCCCTGAAAATGGTGAAAATGTCCCCAGATTCCTATCAATACACTGTAGATAGGAGAGTAGCTTGGCCAGAAAATCAGGAATAGTTAGAATATGGATTTAGGTTTAATGTTTTTAATTGCCTGATAAATTGTTTTTAGGTACAAGGAAAAGTTTTGACCATTTGATATCGGACACAAAGGCTCCTAAAAGGCAAGACATGGAATCTGGAATCACAACGCCTCCCAAAATGAGGAGAGTAGCCGAAAATGATTATGAAATGGGTGAGAAACAGGACTAACATTTTAAGAATACTAATTATAAACGCTTTGTATATATATACAAAGGATTATTTCTAAATTCAATGTTTATTTGCCTAGGTTACTACAAGGTAAGGGAGAAATATCTTTCTTAACAGTGGCTTCTGGAGAGTACAGCCTTCCATATCACTGGCAACTGAGGTTTGAATTAGAGTTGCTCAGTTTGCAGACACAGAATAAGGGGCAGGTATTAAGTACCGCATACAAGAGTGAAATGAAATAAGTAAAATTTGGCTTCTTATAAGTTAGTAAGTCCTAGCTGCAAATTTCTGCAGGACATGGAACGTGACCTAATGCCTAGAATGCCTCTCTTCATCTTCTCCCACATCTGCTTCCTGTGCCCCCACCCCCAATTGCAATGCAAGACCAGGGTTCTTCTGTTGTATCCGATGTCAGTCTGCTGCCTGACCCCGAATATGGTACTTGCCACCCCTGGGCCTGTATTCCACTGAATAGGAAATTGGGGTTATTGTTTGCCATTTGATAATACATCCCATGTAGTGGTCTAGCGCTGCTAAAAGCATAGTTGTTGCTTTTATACTTTATGAAAAGGCTGGTGAACTCTACAGTTTGCGTATGACTGAACTTGTTGTGCAAGAGCTAACTCTATTTTGGTTTGGGTTGACTTGGCTTTGGATGAGTTGCTCTTTTTTTATCTGGCAGAAACCCAGAGAATATCACCGCAGCAACACCCACATCTTCGAAAAGTTTCTGTTTCTGAGTCAAATGTCCTCCTCGATGAAGAAGTTCTGACTGACCCAAAAATTCAAGCACTGCTGCTTACAGTTCTTGTAAGCCTTCTTTCTGCGCATTGTCTGTTATTTTCTGATTCTCTTTGATCTTCCAAAGAAGCATACGTGTTCCTTGCAGTGTTTCTGAATTCGTATGGATCAGAGTCGCTGTTGTGTGCAAGTCTGTTCCTTTGTTGGCATTCTTCAAACTTTCTAGAAATGTATTTAAATGCTCTTTGAGAGAAAATACTGAATTTTCATTATTCTGCATTGTTTTGTAGAACATGTCCAACACTTGTCCCTTTTTCCTGGCAGATTTTTATCACAAACTAATTTTATATAATAAAAGGATATTAATATATTATACTTAAAAAGTTAAGAAGTGAAAATTGTTGGAATCCTGGCATAATTCAGTTTAAAAGCTATGAGCTAGTAATATAGGAACCGTATGATAATGCTTGCTTCAGATGTGCCAATGCAGTTACCATTGCTGATGTAATTCAGAAAGACTCAGTTGCCTGCTTTTGTCAAAAACCGACCAGCTAAATTTTTTGCCAGGGTAGAAGCTGTTACCAACTGTTTTTATTGTCTCCCACATACACATGAAATAAATTTATGTCCTCTTTGGACATGGAATCAAGTGATCTTTTGTAATGCTGCTTTCTGCTGTTCAGAAATCTTGAAACCTTAAAGCCACAACAACGACAAAAGCCTATAATTACTCAAATCAAATTAGAAGCGTGCTAATTTAATCCTTTCCCTTATGACAGGCAACATTAGTGAAGTACACTACCGATGAGTTTGACCAGCGGATTCTGTATGAGTATTTAGCAGAAGCCAGCGTTGTCTTCCCAAGGGTCTTTCCTGTTGTGTAAGTACCTAAAACTCTGCTTTTAACGACTCTGGACTTGGCCCTTCCTTTGAAAGGTCTCTGGACCAGGCCTAGCATGTGTGAGAACTTACTCACTTGTGGGTCGCTGGCCGCAATCTGTCCACAGCTCGTTGAGGCAAACGTCCATAGCAACGACGTCCATATGTCCTCAGATACCACTGCTACAGATGGTCCTCAAAAGCGCTCCTCAGCGTCAGAATTTCGGGCAGGTTGGCAGAGCGTGGGAGAATTCTGCCGCTGTTGCTAGGGAGCCTGTGCAGCCATCAGCTGCTTCCAAAAGCTGGCAGCATCACTGCTGTCTAGTGACTTACCATGGCTTTATTGCCTATTTGATACTGCGGAGAATCAAATTACATTCTAATATGCTCGTGTTCGGGCTTTGTAAAGTAATGGTCAAAGTACAGACAGGTTCTGTGAGTTATTGAAACCACAGTTGTCAGTAACTGGCTTTTGTATTTAAAAAAAAAAAACAAACCCAACCCAGACACGCCTGAGTTGTGCCAGGGAGCTCAAATGAGACAGCACCCCCCCAATTGTCACAAACTGCTTTGAAATCCCAGCTCTGGCATGAACACAAACCCAGTGAATATTTTCTGTTGCTGAAAATAGTTAAAATACTTGCAATGTAAAGTGCTAGGTAGGTGCTTTAATGGGTCGTATTGTTAGTGCAGGTTTTTGAAAGTATTCCACACCGTAAGAGTCCTCACTGAACCTACATAGGAATTGGTTTGTGCTTCTGAAATGACTGAGATTTTGAAAATCCCACCTTAACTGCTGTTTGCTGATGTCAGTTGGGAACTGCAGATTTACTTTACTTCTCTCTTCTTCAGGCATAATTTATTGGATTCCAAGATCAATACCCTTTTATCGCTGTGCCAGGATCCAAATCTGTTGAATCCAATTCATGGGATTGTTCAGAGTGTTGTCTACCACGAAGAGTCTCCTCCTCAATACCAAACTTCTTATCTCCAGAGTAAGTATTTTTCCATTTTTTTAAAAACTGCTGTATTTTAACTTAGATTTACTCCTGAAAATGTTTCAGAATGATTGCAAGCCTAATAGCAGCATCAGCCTTGTGTGGCATCTCTCCAACTTCATATATTCTAGTAAAAATAAGAGTTTGCATATTAAAAAAAAAACAAAACAAACCCAACCCTACTGACATGAAGATTAAAACTGCTTGCGGCAGTTGCACACCAAGTAGTCAAAGCATCACACCATTGGCGTGAGTAAAAAGAAGTTGAAACTCAGTATTCTATTTCCACCAACGAATTTAAGTAATACAGAACATTAATGGAGGTGATAAATGATGAGTTTTAAGTTAGCCTTGTAACTTAGGGGTTAATTTAATTATTGGTAACTTCCATAGAGTAATGGTTGTATTCCAGTGCCCAAGCTCACTTTCATGTCACACTTGAAAACTAAATATTTTTTTATGGTCCTTAATCAAAAACTTCCCAGGAAGATCCATAAGAAACAGATGACAGCTGAGAAAAACTAAAATGTTGACATAGTTTCTTAAATGAGATGTGTATTTACATACTAAATTTACCATTTAAAATACCATCAAGAATTCCTTGCATGACCCTTCTGAGATGTCGAGAGTTTTACAACTTATGTATTTCATATACAAATTAAAATGCCATAATTTTATCTTATACATGGTTTGGACAGCTTTTAGTATTGCATCTCCAAATCAAAATATTCCATTTCCATGCCTAAGTAAATCCAAGTGATGTACTATGGGTACGTTCTAGTTGTTTCCTGTCAGTCGAGAACCGTGGTTTTGTGGTAACGTTCAATTTGTCGTCGTAGGTTTTGGATTTAATGGGTTATGGAGGTTTGCTGGCCCATTTTCTAAGGTAAGAACAGTACACTGTGCTTGGGTTCATGAGTGCTTTGCCTTCATTTTCTGTATAAAGCATGTTGTTCCTCCAGGAAAGATGCAGATAAATGACAAGTCATAGAATTTATATGAGCAAGTTAGTAATATAAAGCTCACTCCTGTAGCTAGGACAGTTTTCAAGCCTGCATCAGATATTTTGATAGACTCAGTATGGTCAAATTACCAGAGTTGGGTAAAAGCAGTCAGGTGTGAAAATGCACCTTGTTACTGCCCCCAGGTTCACTCAGGGGCCTTGGACGTACAGTGCCACGCAGATTTAGTTTATTACGTGTATCTTACAGTGTAAGGGATTAATTTGGTAAGAATGGTAATTCCATAAGGATAAACTTTACATTACAACAGAACAAACAAATGGGGCACTGGCCCATCTGTACTGGCGTTCGTTCCCTCCAGTCATCGTAACGAGAACTGGCTGAGCAGAGCAGGCAGCGTTCTGGGTGTTAGGCTCTGGGGGCACAGGCGACGCTCTCAGTAAGGTGCTGGGCTCAGGTGGCTGTGGCCGCTCACCTCGCGAAGGAAGCGGCCTCTCTTTTCTGACTCTGTGCTTCCACGCGCTGCTGAAATGACACCGACCGGCGGGCTCTAAGGTGCGCGTGGAGATCAGTCTGGAAAAGACTGCAAATCGGTTTTTACAGATAGTCACATCAAGTGCGTTTTAAAATTTTCAGGCAAAACCAGTGTGATATTAGAGCGAGTTCTGGGGCAAAGCTCGTCTTGACAGAGAAGGAGGAAGAAAAGAACCAATCTTTTTTTTTTTTTTTTTCTCTCCCATCACCCACAGCAAACACAGATCCCAGACTACGCTGAGCTCATAGTGAAGTTTCTTGATGCCTTGATTGACACGTATTTGCCTGGAATTGATGAGGAAACCAGTGAAGAATCCCTCCTGACACCCACGTCTCCCTATCCTCCCGCAGTGCAGAGCCAGCTTAGCATTACTGCTAACCTTAACCTTTCCAATAAAAACCAATTTTTTTTTTTTTTTTTTTTTCTCTCCCATCACCCACAGCAAACACAGATCCCAGACTACGCTGAGCTCATAGTGAAGTTTCTTGATGCCTTGATTGACACGTATTTGCCTGGAATTGATGAGGAAACCAGTGAAGAATCCCTCCTGACACCCACGTCTCCCTATCCTCCCGCAGTGCAGAGCCAGCTTAGCATTACTGCTAACCTTAACCTTTCCAATTCCATGACCTCGCTCGCCACTTCCCAGCACTCCCCAGGTCAGTAGTGGTTCTGGTCCCACATAGGTAAGAGAAATGTATTGAATTTGCTGGGTTTGTAGCCAAACACTCAATCTCGTCTCTTTGGATGTGTTTATGCATCAAACATCATTGCATTGTTGAGTCAAATGAATATTAAACTCTTTACTAAGCTGTTACGCTGGCGTTTCAGATGCTGGGTTTTGTCCAGCGCAAAAGCTGTCTTCCAGGCTGTTGTCCATGAAGGCAATAGCATTGAGTGCATCAGAACAAGTAACGGCTGCACCTTAATACCGAATATGTGCAGCAGTGGAGCCTTGAAAAGTAATTAATGTAAATATATAATCAGAATATTTTGCAAGGATAATAATACCTGTCTGGGCACTACGAAGTAGCACGTACTAGGAAAAATAATCCAGAACCGTGCCATGGAAGAGTGTATCTGGGCTGACTCCGTTTCAGTTGACTACGTGATTTAGGGCCAGTGCTCATATAGGCAGCATCACGCTGAGGTCATACCCTCCCTTGAAGGAAAAACAGTATCCCTGTAGATAGGTGTGGAGTCTTGGGTCAGCTCAGACTGTTGTGTTGCCAGAAACATACTGCTGATAAAAGGAAGGTTTTCAAGAAAAGAACAGTCATTAAAGGCATTAATTGGATAAAACCATTATGTTCCTGCTGGCTTGGGGAGAGGGGAATTACAGGGAGATACGCAGAGGTTAAATTTAACAGCGTGGGTTTTCAGGGTGGAAAATGAAAAAAGAGAGTAAAAATTACTCAGTGTAGCAGATGAAGCATAAGCCAAAGGAAATTAAATATAGGAAGAAAATGGAATCTATGTCAAAGAAATCTGCATGAAGACTCTTTCCGAGGTGATTTTGGATTAGCATCTTGTATGTTGAGGAAATTCTTTACTCTTCTTCATCATAAAAGATGTGTGATATTTCTTCAATGATGATTTAAGTATTGCAGTTCTAGCCACTGCAGCCAATCAACCTTTTATTTCTGCTTTGTTCTAACCTTGACGGAAGGCTGGAAACTACTTGTATTTAGGTGAAATATTTACAGAGGTGTTTGGTGTTTCTCCCTCTCTTGTTGTTCTCTGGTTTCTGCTTGCCCTGAAATAAGCTCAGCTTAGCGGTACTTAGCTCTGTTCCAGAACTCTGGTCTTCCAGGCCATCGGTTCGCTCACGGGTGCTGTGCAGGGGTTTTGCTGCATGTGAGGAGTATTGCAGAGGTGCAACAGTGCTCCGTGTCTGTGTAACTTGGGAATGGTGATTCCTTTGTTTATTTCATGCAGTGAAAAGTGATTGCAGCTTGCCTTTTGCCAGTATGAAAACAGGGAGAAGGATAAAACTAAAGGGAAAAAACCCAGACCTTGCTGTCAGTGTGAAAGTAAGTACGTTAGGGGCAGCATCTTTCCATTTAGGATGTAGAATCAGTAGCAACTCCAACAGTTCCTTGTGCAAGGATGAAGTGATGGTGCAGGGTTAGGCCCTCTACCAGTCAAAAAGGCATTTTGCTGTGTAAGCGTCTTCCTTCCTTCCGCCTCACTTTCTATTCCTTCCTTGTTAACTAAGAGGAAGGAATTAATCCAGCTCTTCAAAAATTTCTTTTGAGTGTTCTACATTCAGATGGCTTTTACCAAATGCTGGTTAAGAGGCCATCTCCACAACTGGAGTTAGGAACTGGAGAACTTGTTCGGTGATTCAGGATACTAGTGAGTCTGTGATGATGCGTTTACAACATCTGTGCATGGTTCGCTTGGAAATTACCTTTTAAAATAAGAAGGCCAGGAGATTACGGGTGGTTTTGTGTAACCAGACTGGAGGCATCTTTGTAAAGAATCAGCCTTAATAGGTGTTTCCAGCTTCATTTGAGCAATTTGAGTACAAAGACCTGAGGCTTGGGCAGGGGATCTCCAGCTCTCTCAAACTGTGGACCAGGTCACAACATGGAGCTCTTCATTTTGCTCCTTCATCCCACGTTTATTACATTGCTCCTCATTAATCAACACACAGTTTCACGAGGCTAAACTGGGACGTTAACCAGCGCAACTGTGCATAAAACATGCTTTGCTTTTTAAGCTATTTAGTTGCATTAAAAAGGCAAGCTCCATAGCTGCGCACATGGATTTTGCATTCCCATGAGCTGTGCCTGGAGGTGAGTGATGGCGTTGTCATTGCTGGGCATGTTTACGCTGTAGAGACAGGGGTGAGGGAGTAAGCAGTGAAAGACCTCATATCCACCAGGATAAAAATCATTGGTGAAAGGATTATAGAATATGAAGGTGGGCCACAGCATTTCTAAAACAGCAAGGGAGCTGTGGGACTAATAAGGGGTCCAGATCTGTCATCCGTTTGCTCTGATTTAAGAACTATGGAACAAGAAACTCAAGTATTTAGCAGCGCCGAGTTACTTCATCACACTGAATTGAAGAAACAGTTTCAGCCGAGTGAGTTGGTTATTATGGTTACGAATACATTAAGTTGCAGACACTTGAAAAATTTTTCTCTTGCATCTGGAACAACCGGGCAAGATGATTGTTTATAAATGTTCTGTCTGTCATCATCTCTTCTCCTTTCCCTTCCCCTTGTCACGGACATTATTCACTTACGTTTTTTCTTTCATTCTGTGTCTGTGAAGCTTCTCTGCCTTGCTCTAAATCTGCAGTTTTCATGCAACTTCCTCATCAAGGTACACTCTACTTTCATCATATTTGCACGAACTGCTGCTTGGTCTGCTTTAGGGTTGGGCTTGGGGCATGAGAAGTGGTTTACTGACCCTTTGGACACGGGAATGGCTTCAGTGTAAGTGCTAAGCTGTTGCTTTTCTTGTGTGATGCTAATAACACCTGATGATAGAGCAGGCGAAGTCCGTCACATCCTGAAGAATAAGATAGCTTTGGTGATAGAGGAATGGATGCTTGGTATGTGAAATTCCTCTGCTGCGGGTATTAAGCTAAAAGGAAGAACCGTTTCACGTGAGCTCTTCAGATTGACGGGAAGTCAGCTTCAACTTCAATTACACACCAGCAGAAAACAGGCTGGAGTTCTCTGGGCTGAACCACGGCAGACACAAGCTCAGTAACATGGGTACCCAACACCATTTGATTTCTGCTTCTATATGGAGAAATAAGAAAAAGCTGCAGAAGAGGTTATTTCGCTCACACCCCTGGGTTGCCTCCTATTCCTCTGGTAGTTAGTGGTTTTGGTAAGCTCACACCCCCACAGGGAGAGGCAGGACGGTGTAGCCTGCAGCCAGCTTCTGGCTGGAGTTTTGAAATTGCCCCTCTACGAGTGTGAAATGTGGAGGGTGTTCCTTGTCCTTGGTAATGCCAGTGAGAATCAGTCCCCTCTAGGAATGAGACATAACTGTGGGAGATGTCACTTAGAATAATGGGATTTTGTTCTAACCTTTTTATTCACTGTCAGACATCCTAATTTTTGCTGCCGATTGTGCTTTTAGCCTCTTGCATAAAAACACGCTCCCTGCTGTCACCCACTCCAGTGCTGCACGTGCACCATACATGGTGAGAGTGTTGCTAAACACATCAAACGTACTCGTTTTGTTGCAGAAATAACGTGACAGCTACACTAAGGTATTGCTCCAGGAATGATTAACTCACAGTAGCGTCAGCACAAAAGTAGTAATTGATTGGAAGCATGTCTGCATCAGAGGTCTCAGCTTCTATATCTCCAGGGTACTGACTGTGTCCAAAGCTGTTAGAGTAACGGCTCGTAACCCAAGGCTCTCATGTGCTGTCATCATGTCGGCATGGAGCTTGCACTAAAGCAGTTCAGTTTTGAGGTTGGTTTGATGTTACTCTTTTAGCAAAACATAATAGAGTTACCTTGTCCTGCGGAGAACATCCAAAGCTTCTCAGAAAAGTGGGTATAAAGCCAAATGCATGTGGGTATAAAGCCTGTCTGGTTTCATCTTCATCTCTGTCAGCCGCCTCCTGCCTGCGGTGGAGCTGAGCTTAGGCCTGCGGTGGAGCTGAGCTTAGGCCTGCAGTGGAGCTGAGCTTAGGCCACAGCAGCTCCCATAAAGATGGCCAGACTCACCTGTTCTGTGTGTGTTTCCTCTTAGAAAACCCTGCTTAGAAAACTGTTTCTTTAGTTGTCCCTGTTAAAAGCTAATTGTTGATATTTTTTTTTTTTTTAAAACTCTCAATTTGCCAGGATTTAAATCATTATAATTGGTGCCTACACTTTGGCACTTAACTCTTTGAGTGAATCCCTGCATCAGTTCTATTTCTGCTGTATGCAGAGCAAGCCAGCTGAGCCTTTCATTCCTCCTGGCAATGAGACAGAGCCCTCCAAACATTGATTTGGTCGTTACGTGTTTTTACTGATCTTTATTTGTGAGCCAAGGTTCAGTGTTAAACTAGCAGCACGTTCAGTCTGCAACTTCAGGGGAGGAGAAGAAGGGGTGATTTGAACGAGCCGTGTTGAAATGTTGTGAGCCGTGTGAGTTGCAGCTGTGGGCTGCGAGGGTGCAGATCTGTGTGAGCAGGCGTCGCACTTGAGCACGTGGAGGTGTTTTATCTGCTCAAAGAACGTGGGGACATACGTCTGATCCTGAAAAAATTATTTTTCATGCTACAGTACTGCAGAGAAATAGCTGTATCAGATTTGTCATTTGTGAGGCACCATCGACAGTAAGGTTGTGTTGCATCTGGCTAAAGTAGCGTTCCGGGCCTGGCGGGGGGGAGTTGATTTTCTTCATGGCCGCTGGCATGGGCCGTGCCTTAGCTCTGTGACCGAGGCGGTGCTGAGCAGTGTCTGCGCAGGGCAGGGCCTGCTCTGGTCCTCGCTCGCCCACGGTCAGTAGCCAGGGGTGGCAGCAGTCTGGGGGGGACCTGGCCGGGCAGGTGACCCCAGCCCACCACAGAGCTGCTCCGCGACGCTCAGCGATGGAAAGGGGAAGGGGGCGCTGGGGAGGGGGAGGCTGAGCCATCTTCCGCCTGGGACCCGGCTGGGCACTGGTCCAGCCATGGGGCCTGCTGAGCGATTGCCTTTGCATCACTCCTCTTGTTTTGCTTTCGTTCTTCTTCCACAAATCCCTCGCTTAACAAGACTTTTAATTTTTATTTTAATCAGAACACCCAAGCTCTCTTGCTTTTACTCTCCCTTTCCTCTCCCCCCGGTCGCGCTGGGGTGGAGGGGAACGAGCGAGCAGCTGGGTGGTGCTTACCTGCCTACTGGGGTTAAGCTACCACAAGTGATGTTTTATTCTTTTGTAAAATACCTCGTGACCAGGTTCTGCAGTGCTTTCCTGGGCAGGCGATGCTGCTGCTGGTTTGTGTTGCCAGACGCTGTTTTGAATGAACCGCCACGTGTCAGCATGGCAGAATTCGGCAGGATTTGGACCACGATGTCCAGACCGTTGACACCAGTGCGGGCGGGTCCCCTGCGGCACCCTGGGGCCGTCACGGTCACCCATGTGCCTGCAGGAAAAGCAGCCCTTGAAGCATTAAGGTACAGGGTGGCCAAAGCGGCGGGGTTAACCTCAGTCCTTGTGTTTCCCCAGGGATCGACAAGGAGAACGTGGAGCTCTCGCCCACCGCCGGACACTCCAACAGTGGGAGGATGCGCCATGGCTCCGCAAGCCAAGTGCAAAAGCAGCGAAGTGCTGGCAGTTTCAAACGTCACAGCATCAAAAAGATTGTGTGACCGTTTATTTTTAATTTTTAGTTTGTTTTTTTTTTTAATTTGGAAACTGACTGACGCACGCGGCCTTCGCAAAGGGCCCTCCACCGGTTGTGATGCTGCACTTAATTTTTAAAGTTCCCATCCTGTCAGCCATGTTGCCAGATGATCAACTCTTGAAACGTTGCCTGAATTGTAATGCCTTCATTTCTTTTCCTCTGTTCTTGATTTAAGCCAGTGTTTCAGAACCGCTCGATAGATCCTGACGGACTTTGCAGCCGAAGGGGGCCTGGAGTTCTTTAACACTGCGGAACCCTGTCTTGTCCGAATACGAAAGCCATTTCCCATCGACAGTTCTACCTTGCTTCTGTTATCTGCCTTGTTTGTTTCTTCTCTAAAGGAAAGTGTTAATCCTTAATCCCATTTGCACACTTTTCAAGGTAGTGGCTTTAGGAGCCGGGGGAAGTCGCTATGATCCTGGTATTAATTCAAACCTGTAAGATTTTTAGCTGTGGACTTTTTTTTACCATACTTAAAAGAAACTTAGATAAGCCGCAGTAGAAGGAGTTTAACCAGAAGTGGTGGGTTAGATGAGATTTCTAGTAATCAGCAATAAATTTGAGAGGCCAAGGAGGCTGGAAGAGCCTCTCTCATTCCCCAAACCATAGCTTCACTCACTTGGACCAGACTGGACAAACTGGCTTTTTTCCAAAGCAGAATCTTTTTTTTTTTTTTTTTTTTTTTTTTTTTCCTGCTGTCCTTTAACTGCACTAAACAAGGTTGTGTGGTTGTGTAGTGGAAAGAAAATCATCAAGGACTGACTATTCCGCTGTCATTGTAGCAGTGTTGAAAACTTATTGCTTCTTTCTTCCATTCAGCATACACTTTAGTTTTGCCCTTCCCGATGCTTTGCGCCTTCGAGAAATTCCTGGCAGACCAACCAGTGGGGTGTGGAGGGGAAGGTTTAACGAATTATCTTCCAGCCCTGGGAGATGGCGTTTGGCAAAGCTGCTTTTGTGCTGCGCGAGCAGCGATGTAAAAACAGCAATGTTTGCTTAAGGTACATGAATTTAAGAATAACTGACACTGTGTCAAATCCAGGTTACGTCTGAACGTCTGCAGTGCAATTCCTGGTATCAGTCCAGGCGCCTGCGGTCAGGCCTGTCTGGCAGAACTTGCGAGGGGGTTTAGTTCGTAAGGGTTCGTACTTGGGGGTTACGCGAAACTGAAATTGCTGTCACTGTGAAAGACTTGTCAGCTGCAGTCGTGCCTCAGCGATGGACGACTGTGAGAACATGCTGCTATGCTGAGGACGCGCGAAGGTGCAGCGCTGGGTGCTGCAGGCGCTGCCTGCGCGGACGGAAACCGCGCAGAGCGTTTGATCCCGGAGGCGAGCAGAAGTTCTGGCAGAAGGGCCCGTCACCGGGTGCTCAGGGGAGGGCTGGGTGCGCCTCCTGCTGAGGAACAGTTGGACTGCCCGGTTCCAGATCCCTGGTGTACGTTAGAAATTAACAATCTGTAAGTGGCTTTAGAGGGGGGAAAAAAAAAAAAGTATATCCACTCTATAAAATAGTGCAATTTCGTTAGTGGCTTTCCGTAAATCAAACTCCACAGCTAAATTATTAGAGAATGGTACAGTTAAGTGTTCAGATTTTATTGATATAGCACATAATTCACATGTATCCACACAGTAACAATGTAACATTTATGTAAATAAAAATACCTTTATTGTATTGATTCATAAAATAACAATTTAATTTCTTTAATTTGTTTACAGTCCTGGAAAAACTATGAACACAAACTTAATATGCAAATAGTTTGCCAAAACGAGAGGAAAACTTGGAATTAGCCGTCTTGAAATAGATGCGTTGGAAAATACCAAGACTCGTGCATTAACCGGATTGTTTTTATT